TTACGAGCCACTTACAAACTGAGGACTGTTCTCTTTTTGGTTTGTGAGTGAAACTTCCATTAATAGTAAAAGCGAACTGCAAACGTAACATAGTCAGCAATCCATTCTGTGATTGCTCTAGGTAAGCACTACCCACCACGCTGCCCCTATCCCCCCTCCTGGGGTGGTAATGCTGTGTGGCACAAACTGTGATACAAGAGCCAGAGAGCTAGATAATCTGTGCACAGCAGCCTCAAAGAATCTTCTTTGCATTTGCCATGCATGAGTCCTGTGTCTTCTCTGTTGTGAGGGACATATGCCCCACAAACTGAAAAGAGACTGCATATCATTCCATGTAATCAGCTAAATGTTGAAGATAATCATCAACCAAATTTGACATTAACAGTAACTATCAGAATATTTTATTAGAGCCCAATTCTTTTTCCATTTGATCTAAGCTGCGTGTATTCTTCAAGTCCAGACCTGAGGAAGAGCTCTGTGACACTTGTCCCCTTCACGAACAGAAGTTGGCCCCCCAAAAAATTATTACTTCACCCACCTTGTCTCTGTACTCCTCTCAATTAGTTATACTAGAACTAATAGAAAGATGTGCCCACTAATATTTGATATATTAAAGTCAGATTGTTTTAAAGTAGCAGCCGTGTTAGTCTGTAGCCGCAAAAAGAAAAGGAGTACTTGTGGCACCTTAGAGACTAACCAATTTATTTGAGATGAAGTGAGCCGTAGCTCATGAAAACTTATGCTCAAATAAATTTGTTTGTCTCTAAGGTGCCACAAGTCCTCCTTTTTTAAAGTTAGATTGTGTGTCTGACGATTTCAAGGTTTGTTTTTGATATCAACTCTCAGGAGAAAGAATAATTTTTAAATTGTGAAGTTATGGAAATGTAGCAACACCTCCACAGTGACAGCTGAATATCCTATTCAAAAAGATAAAGGAGGAGAGAGAGCACCCATGCACATGGTTTTGTCCCACACACTAACTTCACCAGTCTGTCTAAAAATAGCATGCAGTTCTCCCCTCTTTCCTCTTTTTTGCAAAGTTTAATCCAAGTTTCCTAGGCAACCTACCTCCAACCAAGACAGACTCCACAGCCCCACAGTGGCCAAACTAGTTTAGAATCCGAATGAAAAACCGTATTCTCCATTTACATCCTTTGGTAACGATGCCATGTGGCCTGCTAAACATTTCTTGGCACCTGCCGAAGTCTGATAAATGGGGGACGAAAGGCCTCAATTAAAATGTTTTTAAAAACTGAAACTGACTACACAATGCACCATAGGGGCTGGAACTAGGGGTTCTGCCACACTGCCTGCCTGGTTTCCATCATATCCAGGGTTTACAGTTTGGTTCAATGGCTCTCAGCCACCCTCACTATACAAATTGCTCCATCTAAATGCAGTGCATTGCAGGGCTGCTCATTCCTAGTGAATCTGTCAGTCTATACACTGTGCAAACCCAGCCACGTTTTTAAAGCTAGGCTGCAGAAAGTAACCAACCAGAAACATGTGTTAGCAGGAAAGCACAGCTCACGCTCATTTCATTCCTCTTAAAATTTCTCAGGGGCGGGGGGGAGGGGGAAGAGAGAAGAGAGGTTTCTGCTTTCCAAGGCTTTTCCAAGGTTAAGACAGTACCAGCAAGTAAAGAGATGTATACTCCCCACTGTCAGGGGGGAGAAGTGGGTAGCAGGGAAAACTACATTAAAGTCATGAATTTGAGAGGAGGAAGCTACACTGGTAACATAATTAATACTGCAAAAAGCAAGAGAGATAAAGATCTCAATGCTCCCTAGTAAAGCTTAAGTAAAAATTCACTCTAAGACATTTCTGCACAAATGTAAATTACGATACACCAGTGGTTCTCAAACTTTTGTACTGGTGACCCCTTTCACACAGCAAGCCTCTGAGTGAGACCCCCCCATATAAATTAAAAACACTTTTTTTATATTTCACACTTATTATAAATTCTGGAGGTGAAGCACGGTTTGGGGGTTGAGGCTGACAGCTCACAACTCCCCAGGTAATAACCTCACGACTGCTCAAGGGGTCACAACCCCCAGTTTGACAACCCCTGCTGTACACTGACTGAACCGAAACAGGTAGAATTTCAAGCCATAGGTCTACCACTCCTTTAACAAAGAGAATTTGTGGGGGTGGAAGCCATTAAAGAGTTTTATTCAGGGACATTGGTCTCATTGATTTCAATGCTTGTGATCGGAAAGCTGAAAAAGCTAAGTGAGACTGAGCTACCATAAAATAAACTTTTCCTTTAACTTCTTAATCTCTGGTCTGACATGATTGACAATAGTTATGCAAGGCAATTTTTTTTTATTTATAAGAACAATTTGTGTTCATTTATAAAAGTATATCTCGTCTGCATATTAGTGCCTTAATAATTAAGATAAACGCAGTTTTAGGGGAGAAGGGGGTGGAACAAGAAATTAAAACACTGAAATGAATCATTTGTTTTCTTTAAAATCCTCTGGAGTTTAACTTTGTTTTTTAAACTGAATTTGTAAAGAGGAATAAAACAAAAAAAACAGACACAAGGGTATAAATGGTGTTCACTAACAAGATTAACACTCCCCCCACCACAGCACAGAGCAGTTTTGTGGCTGAATGATATAGACATTTGTCCTCCTTTGTCAGGCTTGTTGCACATCCTGTCTTTACTCAAGGGAACAGGGGGAGAAGGCATGACAGCTGACGAGCTATTAGACTGATGAACTGTGCAGCCTTCCGCATCTATTATACATAGGAATTTAATTAGGAATTTGTGGAGAGGACTATTTAAGTCATTTTGATATTAATTTTGTTTGTTCTATTCCTTGGATGAGTAATTACAAGTTATTTTACTACACCCTTCTCACAGAAGGGGCAGGAGGAAGGAGTGATTGTGTAAATACCAAAGCTCTTGCAGAGGCAGTGAAGAGTTAAAAGCAAAAGAAGGATGCTGAATCAAATTACTATTGATTTTACATGGCAGGCACTCTGATACTACAGTTACAGGTGGCAGTATAAAAACCCTACGTATTTTTTCATTTTGGCTGTTCACATTGGATGTCTTGTATATTTGGACAGTGAGGGGGAAAGTCCAAGAGTAGCAACTCACACTTCTCAATTATTATCTATGGGAAATTGAGACTGGACAGTTATGAAGCTGCTCACAGAGTTTGTAAAAGTACCCTTACAAATCAAGCAACCAAACCCCATTATAAATGCAGAGGGTGCTGAAGGACGAAGTTTCTTTTTGTAACTTAAAGCTGAGCTGCAAGTGATTTTTCTTAAAAAAAGAGAGAGATTGTGCCCATATAAATAGGGCCCTACCAAATTCACAGCCATGAAAATTTGGACCATGAAATCAGACCTCCCCCATGAAATCTAGCTTTTGGAGGGGAGAGCAGAGGAAGGGCTCCGGGGAAGAGGGGCTACCCGTTGGCTCCAGCTGTTAATCCCCTCTGGGCTGGGGAGGGATGGGACTTTCTCTTTCCCTGCACAGCCACGCTCAGGGGAGATCAGACTCAGCTTCAGGTACCCACCCCAGCTGCAGGACTGGGCAGCAACCCCGAAGTTTCCTGCAGTCGCAGAAGGTTGCCAGATGTGGAGGTGGGTCTGATCTCCCCCGTGCTGCTGGTAGCACCTCAGCCGGGGGCTCCTAGCTGCTAGTTCCAGCCAAGCTGGGGAGGAACAGGCCTTGCTCTTTCCCTGCGTGGCCGCTCTCAGGGGGAAATAAGACCGACCTCCACCTCTGGGAGCCTTCTGTGGCCATAGGAAGCTCAGGGTGTGCTTAGCTGTGACGGCAGCGCAGAAGTGAGGATGGCAATCGCACGACCTACGTTTCCTCTAAGGTGCGTGCCTGCAAGGCTGCTCAGGAGACCACCAAGGGCCACACAGGCGTGCACACTGCACTCAGGGGCATGGGGTGGGGTGTGGTGTGGTGTGGTGAGGTGAGGGTGGGAGATATTGGGCGGGGGTGCAGTGACTCCCCAGCCCCAGGGCTGCTGCACCCTGAACCCCTCATCCCCAGCTGGAGCCCTCGCCCCAACCTTCTGCCCCAGCCTTGAGCCCCCTCCCACACTCTGAACCCCTCAGTCCCACCCCCGCCACACATCACCTCCATGTTGGGGCACATAACAAAATTCATTCCACATATGGATGGAAAAATTAGCGGGAACATTGCCCACGACCTCCCCACAACAGGTTTGCAACTCCCTCATAACCCCATTTTGGGTCTGGACCCCCACGGTTACAACACGGACATTTTAGATGTAAATGTCTGAAAACGTGAAATTAACAAATTTCCAAATCCAAGTGAACATTACAAAGACATTAGTCAGAGTATATACAAAGAGAAAATCCAGAAGACACCACCCACCCCCCAATTATTCTACACAAAACTCAAAAATTGCTAAAATAAAACTTGAAAAAGGAAAGTTAATAAACCCCCTCCAAAAAAACTGAAGCCCTAATTATATGTTCATAAGGCCATCCATGACTCCATGAGTATAAAGGAAGAATCCACACAGGCATTATTTGCAGTCAGGGGACTGAAGGTGAGAAACTGTTCAGGGCCTGAGCATCACATACATTTCTTCACTAGTTTGGGCAACAGACCAGAATATGCTCTCTCCCACCACTTCCCTTGTAGCCCTGGTCTACACTAGGAGTTTAGGTCGAATTTAGCAGCGTTGAATCAATGTAAACCTGCACCCGTCCACACGATGAAGCCCTTTTTTTGACTTAAAGGGCTCTTAAAATCGATTTCCTTAATCCACCTCTGACAAGTGGATTAGCGCTTAAATCGGCCTTGCTGGGTCGAATTTGGGGTACTGTGGACGCAATTAGATGGTATTGGCCTCTGGGAGCAATCCCAGAGTGCTCTATTGTGACCGCTCTGGACAGCACTCTCAATTTAGATGCCCTGGCCAGGTAGACAGGAAAAGGCCGGCGAACGTTTGAATTTCAATTTCCTGTTTGCATGGTCACCTGCAGCTTGCCACACTGGCCAGAGCTCATCAGCAGAGGTAACCATGCAGAGCTCCTCAGCAGAGGTGACCATGATGGAGTCCCAGAATCGCAAAAGAGCTCCAGCATGGACCGAACGGGAGGTACGGGATCTGATCGCTGTTTGGGGAGAGGAATCCGTGCTATCAGAACTCCGTTCCAGTTTTCGAAATGCCAAAACATTTGTCAAAATCTCCCAGGGCATGAAGGACAGAGGCCATAACAGGGACCCGAAGCAATGCCACGTGAAACTTAAGGAGCTGAGGCAAGCCTACCAGAAAACGAGAGAGGCAAACGGCCGCTCCGGGTCAGAGCCCCAAACATGCCGCTTCTATGATGAGCTGCATGCCACTTTTGGGGGTTCAGCCACCATGACCCCTGCCGTGTTGTTTGACTCCTTCAATGGAGATGGAGGCAATACGGAAGCAGGTTTTGGGGACAAGGAAGATGATGATGATGAAGTTGTAGACAGCTCACAGCAAGCAAGCGGAGAAACCGGTTTTCCCAACAGCCAGGAACTCTTTCTCACCCTGGACCTGGAGGCAGTCCCTCCCGGACCCACCCAAGGCTGCCTCCCGGACCTGCCAGGCGGAGAAGGGACCTCTGGTGAGCGTACCTTTTAAAATATAAAATATATATGGTTTAAAAGCAAGCATGTTTAATGATTAATTTTCCCTGGCATTTGCAGCTCTCCTGGATGTACTCCCAAAGCCTTTGCAAAAGGTTTCTGGGGAGGGCAGCCTTATTCCACCCACCATGGTAGGACACTTTACCACACCAGGCTAGTAGCACGTACTCGGGAATCATTGTAGAACAAAGCATTGCAGTGTATGTTTGCTGGTATTCAAACAACATCCGTTCTTTATCTCTCTGTGTTATCCTCAGGACAGTGACACCATTCATGGTCACCTGATTGAAATAGGGTGCTTTTCTTAAGGAGATATGCAGAGGTGCCCGTTCCTTCTGGGCTGTTTGCCTGTGGCTGAACAGAAATGTTCCCCACTGTTAGCCGGTGGTTTGGGTGTGGGGGGTGAGGGGCTAGCCACGTGGTGGGGGAGGCAAAATGCGACCTTGGAACGAAAGCACATGTGCTATGTATGTAATGTTAACAGCAAGGTTTACCGTGAAAGAGTGCAGCCATTGTTCTAGAAAATGTGTCTTTTTAAATACCACTGCCTCTTTTTTTCTCCACCAGCTGCATGTGTTTCAATGATCACAGGATCTTCTCCTTCCCAGAAGCTAGTGAAGATTAGAAGGCGAAAAAAAACGCACTCGTGATGAAATGTTCTCTAAGCTCATAGTGTCCTCCCACACTGAAATAGCACAGACGACTGCGTGGAGGCAGACAATGTCAGAGTGCAGGAAAGCACAATATGACTGGGAGGAGAGGTGGCAGGCTGAAGAGAGGGCTGAAGCTCAAATGTGGCGGCAGCGTGATGAGAGGAGGCAGGATTCAATGCTGAGGCTGCTGGAGGATCAAACCAATATGCTCCAGCGTATGGTTGAGCTGCAGGAAAGGCAGCAGGAGCACAGACCGCCGCTACAGCCCCTGTGTAACCAACCACCCTCCTCCCCAAGTTCCATAGCCTACTCACCCAGATGCCCAAGAACGTGGTGGGGGGGCCTCTGGCCTCCTGGCCAATCCACCCCAGAGGATTGCCCAAGCAACAGAAGGCTGGCATTCAATAAGTTTTAAACTTTTAAAGTGCTGTGTGGCCTTGTCCTTCCCTCCTCCACCACCCCTCCTGGTGCTTCTCTCCTCCACCACCCCTCCTGGGCTACCTTGGTAGTTATCCCCCTATTTGTGTGATGAATGAATAAAGAATGCATGAATGTGAAGCAACAATGACTTTATTGCCTCTTCAAGCGGTGATCAAAGGGAGGAGGGGAGAGTGGTTAGCTTACAGGGAAGTAGAGTGAACCAAGGGGCGGGGGGTTTCATCATGGAGAAACAAACAGAACTTTCACACCGTAGCCTGGCCAGTCATGAAACTGGTTTTCAAAGCTTCTCTGATGCACACCGCGCCCTCCTGTGCTCTTCTAACTGCCCTGGTGTTTGGCTGTGCGAAACCAGCAGCCAGGAGATTTGCCTCAACCTCCCACCCCGCCATAAACGTCTCCCCCTTACTCTCACAGATATTATGGAGCTCACAGCAAGCAGTAATAACAGTGGGAATATTGGTTTCGCTGAGGTCTAACTGAGTCAGTAAACTGCACCAGCGCGCTTTTAAACATCCAAATGCACATTCTACCAGCATTCTGCACTTGCTCAGCCTGTAGTTGAACAGCTCCTGAGTACGGTCCAGGCTGCCTGTGTATGGCTTCATGAGCCATGGCATTAAGGGGTAGGTTGGGTCCCCAAGGATAACTATAGGCATTTCAACATCCCCAACGGTTATTTTCTGGTCTGGGAATAAAGTCCCTTCCTGCAGCTTTTGAAACAGACCAGAGTTCCTGAAGATGCGAGCGTCATGTACCTTTCCTGGCCATCCCACGTTGATGTTGGTGAAACGTCCCTTGTGATCCACCACTGCTTGCAGCACTACTGAAAAGTACCCCTTGCGGTTTATGTACTCACCGGCTTGGTGCTCCGGTGCCAAGATAGGGATATGGGTTCCATCTATGGCCCCACCACAGTTAGGGAATCCCATTGCAGCAAAGCCATCCACTATGACCTGCACATTTCCCAGGCTCACTACCCTTGATATCAGCAGAGCTTTGATTGCGTTGGCTACTTGCATCACAGCAGCCCCCACAGTAGATTTGCCCACTCCAAATTGATTCCCAACTGACCGGTAGCTGTCTGGCGTTGCAAGCTTCCACAGGGCTATCGCCACTCGCTTCTCAACTGTGAGGGCTGCTCTCATCTTGGTATTCTTGCGCCTCAGTGCAGGAGAAAGCAAGTCACAAATTTCCATGGAAGTGTCCTTACGCATGCGAAAGTTTCGCAACCACTGGGAATCGTCCCAGACCTGCAACACTATGCGGTCCCCCCAGTCTGTGCTTGTTTCCCGAGCCCAGAATCGGCATTCCACCGCATGAACCTGCCCCATTAGCACCATGATGCCCACACTGCCAGGGCCCCTGCTTTGAGAGAAGTCTGTGTCCATGTCCTCATCACTCATGTTACCGCACTAACGTCGCCTACTCGCCCGGTATCGCTTTGCCAGGTTCCGGTGCTGCATATACTGCTGGATAATGCGCGTGGTGTTTAATGTGCTCCTAATTGCCAAAGTGATCTGAGCGGGCTCCATGCTTGCCGTGGTATGGCATCTGCACAGAAAAAAGGCGCGGAATGATTGTCTGCTGTTGTCCTGACGGAGGGAGGGGCAACTAACGACATGGCTTCCAGGGTTGGCTTCCAGGGAATTAAAATCAACAAAGGGGGTGGCTTTGCGAGAAACTGAATGGCCCCCTCAAGGATAGAACTCAAAACCTCAAGGATAGAACTCAAAACTGGGTTTGGCAGGCCGTTGATTTCACAGAAGGAAGGAGGAGAAAAGGAATACAAAACAAATCTGGTCTATTTCTTGTTTTGAGCCACTTCATCTATCTTTACAAATCTTGCTGGCAGCAGACTGTGCAGTACGACCGCTAGCCGTCATCATCTCCTGGGTGCTCGGCAGAAGACGGTGCAGTATGATGACTAGCCATCATCTTCTGCTGGCTGGAGCTTAAAACACAGTGCACTGCCGGTAGGACTGAATCGCCACGAGATGAAACTTAAAAGGGAAATGACCTGGCTGAATCACTCCCATGTTTGCCCAGGCGCCCAGTTAAAAGAGCACCCAGGACTACGTTGACAACTGCTACCAGTCATACTGCACTGTCTGCTGCCAAAAGGCAATTAACTGCTGCTGTGTAGCAATGCAGTACTATGTCTGCCAGCACCCAGGAGACATACGGTGATGGTTTGCTGAGCGGGCTCCATGCTTGCCATGGTATGGCGTCTGCACAGGTAACTCAAGAAAAAAGGCGCGCAACGATTGTCTGCCCCTGCTTTCACGGAGGGAGGGAGGGTGGGAACTGGGGCCTGACAATATGTACCCAGAACCATCTGTGACAATGTTTTAGCCCCATCAGGCACTGGGATTTCTACCCAGAATTCAGATGGGCGGTGGAGACTGCAGGAACTGTGAGATAGCCACCCACGGTGCAACGCTCCAGAAGTCGATGGTTTCCTCGGTGCTGCGGACACACTCCGCCGACTACATGCACTTAGAGCACTTGTGTGGGGACACACACAATAAACTGTATAAAACCGCTTTCTACAAAACCGACTTCTAAAATTCGACCTAATTTCGTAGTGTAGACATACCCGTAGATTCAAGCAGGACAACATAGAGGTTTATGAAGACAACATCTCTTATGGTCATATTTTCCCTCTCACTTATGAATTACATACTACTTATCATAGCACCTTCCTAGGCATGGGAGAAGGAAGGGGGCAAAAGTTCACAAAAACAAATTTTAGGTATTTAACTTCAGCTGTCTCTCTTAAATCCTCATGACAGGCCCAATAAACTCCTACTGAAGTCAAGGGGAGTCCTTTCAGCAACTTCAATGAGAGCTGGATTGATTCTCTTAGCTACTGCATAAAGAGCACAAGTCACATACACAGCTGTTAGCTCTTTGTTCATTATGGAAGTGCTTCTCCTGCTTCCATTGTTCACGTTGAGCTGTTTTTCACTTCAAGCAGGGAGTCGGCCATTTGGTAAAATACCTATGAGGAATACAGCCTATCTTGCCAAAACTACAGCCCTTATTCTTTAAGTTCAGAATGAACTGGTTAAAGATTATTTTTCAGGTTCTTTTAAAAAAAAAAAAATGTAGACTATATCAAACCATTTTTTGTCCTGAATGATCTTAATGGAATAATGCAGGCCCTTCAAAACTTTCCATATAATTAAAATCCAGAGAAATCTCATGTACTGTCTAAATTTGAACAAATGCTATTAGGATTAATGATAATTTTTTGCTGTTATTCTTCAGAACTGACAGTTTGTTCTTCAGCAGAGCCTGACAAATTATGTTCAACTACAGAGAATTTCAGGAAAATCTCTTCTCTTTCCAAACTGCTGCCATATCCTGTTGTTCTCAAATAGAGTAAATCCAAGATGACCTCATGAGATGGTGGCCCCTGACAGCAGCTTGACTTCACTCTCATTGGTAATAGCAGAAGGTGAGGGCCATTCTGAAAGAAGACATCATAACACAGCACCTTTGGCTTCAGTCCCATTGAGAACAATAGGACAGAGCCACTATTCCAGGGTTGCCACATTGTCTGGTTTTCCACCAGAACACGCAGAAGAAAAGGGATCCTGGAGCTGACCAGTGTGTTAAAAGTCCAGTTGGCGGCACAGCGGTGCTCCCAGGAAGCGGCCAGCATCTCCTTCCAGCATAGGGTTTCCAACTGTCTAATCGCACAAACCCAAACACCTTTTCCCCGCCCCTTCCCCAAGGCCAGGCCCCTTCCCACTACTTTTCTGAGGCCCTGCCCCTCGCTTACTCCAGCCCCCCTCTCTCTGTCATGCTCCCTCCCCTCACTTTCACCAGGCTGGTGTTGGGGGTGCAGGACGGGGTGCAGGCTCTGGGCTGGGGCCAAGGGGTTTGGAGTGTGGGAGAGGGCTCCGGGCTGAGCCTGGGGAGGTTCGGGGTGCCAGCTGTTGGGGTGCAGAAGAGGTCTGAGGCAGGTGGTTGGGGTGCAGGAGAGGCTCAGGGGTGCAGGCTCTGGCTGGGCACTGCTTACCTCAGGCGGCTCCCAGAAGCGACTGGCATGTCCCGCTCCTAGGCTCACAGGCGGCTCTGCCCCTGTCTGCAAGTACCACCCCTGCAGCCCCTATTGGCCGCGGTTCCCCATTCCCAGCCAATGGGAGCTGCGGAGTCAGCGCTCAGGGTAGGGGTAGTGCACAGAGATCCCCTGGCTGTGCCTCCTCCTTGGAGCCGCTGCCAGACATGCCAGCAACTTCCGGGAGTGGCTTGGAGCCAGGTAGGGAGCCTTCCTTAGCCCCACTGCGCCACCGGACTTTCAGCAGCCTAAAATCTCCTGGATTAGCTTCAGTAGCCTCCACGAGATGGAGCCCAATTCCTGAAGACTCCCGGCCAAACCGGGAGGGTTGGCAACCCTACTCCGGCTCCTCGGCATGGGGCGGCCATGGGGGCTCCGCGTGCTGCCCCTGCCCCAAGCATTGGCTCCGCAGCTCCCATTGGCCAATGGGAACTGAGGGGGCAGCACGCAGAGCCCTCTGGCCCCTCCTACTAGGAGCCGGAAAGACATGCTGACTACTCCTGGGAACCACTTGAGGTAAGTGCCACCCAGAGCCTGCACCCCTCGCCCCCTCCCGCGCCCCAACCCCCTGCCCCAGCCCATTGAAAATGAAAGAGTGAGAGAGGGTGGGAGGAGGGATGGAGCGGGGCAAGGGTGTTCGGTTTTCTGCTATTAGAAAGTTGGCAACTCTACACTATTTACAGCTACTACATTTTTATTGAAAATAAACAGTGACATTTTTAACTGTCAAATCATCATCCTTTGGAGATATAAGACTAAAGAAACCCACTGTAGAACTGCCCCTACAAGCAGGAGGATTTCACTGAATTTTTAACGGGGAGTTGCAGGTCCAGCAACAGTAAAACATTTTATTTTGAACACTGAAGGGGGTAGAGTGCCTTTGCCACTGAAAATACCAAACATACAGCTTTGTATTGACCCAAGCTATATGGCACTGGTTCTACAGTAATTAAGCTAGAGGTAAAAATAAGTCTTCTTTGGCAGGCAGAGTCAATGCTGCCTTCT